CCCAGGACACAGGGCTGCACTGGGGATGGAGGAGAACCTGGCTGCCTACTGAGAGGTTTAGGGCCTAATCCTGCTGGTGCCGAGCCTGTGCAGGATCATCTGGGACCCTTGCATACCATGTGGTTTAACCACAGGCAATTTGTAGGGATGCTATCATTGCAGTCATTATGCCTCCAAGTCCTCTGGTGGCCTCCAGCCAGGTCCCTTCTCCTCTCCCAGGCTACTGCGGACCAGGACAGGATGGTCAAAGCCCTCATCTGCCAAATCCAAAGTAAGGAATCCCAATTGCCGCTGAGCAGCCCCCACGTGCCCTGCCAGCTGCTCGAGCACAAGGCAGGGTCTGGCCCTCTGTCCCTCACACCCTTTCACCCGCTCCCCCACCCGCTGCCTCCCTCCTTCCCAGGGGAGGGGGCTCTGGTTTGTCTGGTAGGGTGGGGAGGTGGGAGGCTCTGCCCCTGCCGCGGGGCGGTGTGTGCCAGGCAGGGTGGCTCTGTGCACACCTGAGCCAGGTGAGGTTTGTAGAGAGGTGACAGCAGATGAAACCAGGGGATGGAGCAGAGAAATGAGGATGAGGTTTTAGACACCTCCCTCCTGTTTTACACCCGGAGCAAAAGCGGGAGCATCAGAAGCTGGAGGGATGCTGAGAGGAGCTGCTGGTGGGGAGCTGTTGCAATGCCCTTACCCTGAGCCCATCACAAGCGGGCCACTGCCAAAAAGGCCATCATCTCTCCCAGGTGCGGGGTCACACAGCCCTGAGGCCCGGGGATGAGGTCTTGCCGTGCCACCCGGCTGGGGACACCTGCCGGGTCTGGTGCCATCGTGTGGACACACGACACTTCCACAGCCCCCTTGTCCCCGTCCCTGCGCTCCACAGCCTTCCCCGGCCGGAGGGACAGGACATGGCAGCACTGCTTTCCCAGGCTGTCCTGAGCACCGAGGGGGTTTATGTACCCGTCCCACTACCCCATGTCCCCCAAAACCTTGCCCACCGCCTGCCTTTCCCATTCAGCCACCGGTGCAATGCCCTCCCTCCCCACCCCATCACCCCCACTGCTGTACCCCACCTGCTCTGGCCACCCCCAAACCGTGACTGCATTAAGGAGTCAAATTCCTGTTGATCTGGTGAGGACACCCACCCACTGCCCCCCCAAGTCCCCTGGGCAAGGGAAAGAAGGACAATAAATGACCACAAGTGGCCAGACATGGAAGGATGTGATGGGGCTGGGGGGCTCTGCTCTGCCCCCCTCTCCCCACCCCTGAAAGAGGCTCTCACCTGCATACCAACCTTCCCTCTCCCCCCCATTTCACACCCCTTCTTCCCCATTTTCTACCAACCCCACCCCACACCCCTACATGGACAAGTCCAGACCTGCTCCAGGCCCCCTTTTCCCAGGGGGTCACCGTGCCATCACGCTCCGGTGTGCCCC